AGCAGGAAGTTTCTTGCAGGTTGACATCTTCTTTGTTAAAAGTTCAGAAGTAGAAACATTTGAAAATTTAAAACTTACCTTTAAAAATGGTGTATCTAAAAATTTAAATTATTTTAAACCTAGATAAATGATTGACTGTTTGGGGTGTATTTTTGTAGTTAGCGAAGAAATTGAAATCTATATACGAAACAAACTGCGTGGCTGTCCGTGCAACTTTTACTGATCATTGAACGAGCAAAAGGTCTTGTAGAAATAATACCACATGATCATGTAATTGCATACGTTGTCTGAAATCATTCTTAAAAAAACAAAACAAGCAGAAATGAGTTTGCTTAAATAGCTACTCAAACACTTCCAAAGTTTACATTTCTGAACTTTAAGTGACTTTACTCAGTAATGTAAATATTATTTTAACATTGGTAGCTTTTAAGCTTTTTCCTTTCTCTTCCTTAAAAGTCAAAGCTCAGCTTACCATGCTCACCTCTGGTAGCAGTCTCCCACCGCTGGCAGGGTTTGAAACTTGAACCTTGCCGTTTCCCCCACTGGAAGCACAGCAGTGACTTTGAGTCCCAGACTTTGCTTGAGAGCTGAGGCTGTCCTGGGCTGTCGGGGACATTCAGACAGAACTGTTCTAGCCTCAAATTCTCTTTGTTTTCCTCTCTGGAAAGTAAAGTCCTGTTGTCCGGTGTGGTGTCTCAGAAGTATGGATGGGACGTTGTAATCCTTTTGCTCTCACAGTAGGTAGAATTGGGCTGTGAGGAGGCACCTGATTTGCTTTAAGTTCCTTACCACATGCAGTAGTTCTGTCAGCACTAAAAATCTTTCCATGTGCAGATTTCGCTGCTGCAGCTTCGGCAGTGTAGTGGACTTGGCTCACAAAAACATGAAAGTTGTTGCCCTGGCAGGCTGCCAAAGCTTTGAGCAACGTAGCCAGAGAAGGGAAGTTTGGAAGCAACAGTTGAGAATCTTAAGTGAGGATTTTCTCCGTGCCGATTCTTCAATGGTCTGCTGCAACTCTGGAAAGAGGGAAACACTGGTTAACTGTGTCACCAGAAACAGTGATCAGTAGAACTAGTGGCAGATACAGAATTAAAATCTGAACTTCACCATGTTCTGTCCTAAACTCAGATTTGTATACCATTTTATCTGTCTCCATTTCCACCTTGCATTTATTAAATTATGTTAATGCAACAGGTGTTGTGGAGAAGGACATTCTTTACATTTGAAGTTATTTGACAACAAGTAGATAATTCTTAGGATAATGTTCTTAAATTTAATGAAACACCAACACTAGTTTAAGAATATGGCAGGAAGTCCACAGAAGGATTAGAATGGTAACTTTTATGGTTTCCTCCTCTTCCTTTTTGATGTAAATCTGCTAGTTGTTGCATTTAGTATGTTTTGCAATGATTGTCTTTACACCTTTAACAAAGTGACTCTCTGACACTAGAGACTTTTGTCTAATAGTCTAATACACTCAGTATCTTCAATTACACTGAATTCAGCCATCTCCATTTCTCTTCTCTTATTCCAGCATATTGAAAAACACTAGTGAGCCACGCATTCATGTTGCTGAAGCACATATGCACTGTCTTTGAAATACAATATTGTCTCTTTTTCCTAAGCAATAGAATCTGCAGTCCTTGGAAGACACTGGAGATTTCTGAAAAAAATTGAACTTGTTTTGTCAAGACTTAGCTTTTGTCTTAAATGGTTGGGAAGGCGGTATAAAGAACAAAATGTTGTGTTTTGAGTTGTTGTTTTGAACTGAGTCCTTCCTTTGTGGTTCCAAATCAATAACTTGGATAGTAGAAGAAACATCAGGGACTGAACAAAAAACCCCCAAGTGTTTATTTTGAATTTTAGTATTATTTTGATGAAGGATAGATGAGACAATCTACGTTTAGTCTTTGATCGTTAATGTTATATAGGAGGTCAGTAATTTGCGTGGCCTGGTGGATATTATATTGATGAAGGTTTAAGTTGTTTATTGTCATATGACTTTTTATAGGTTACTGTACTGATTTAAGATACTACAAACTGTCTGTGCACATATCTAAATGTTGTTAAACGTACATAATTGACGAAAAAAGTTATAAAATATGTCTTTTGGTAAAATGAAACATTAGCAGGGTAATAGGAGATTAAATACAAATTTTATTACCCTAGTAGTGAATGTGGGACTGTTAATTATTGATTAGATTACTTTTCTGTGTCTCGGAGAGTGTGCCTTGTGGTTCCAGTTTGTAACTTTGAACAGAGCTGTGATAGATGATTTGTTGTGTGAGGTATTATTCCTGGCTGGAAGGTACAAGTCTAAGGTTACTGGTGTCTACAGGATTCATTTGGCAGAAAAACTAAAGTAGTTCTTAATCATTCTGGGGCCTTACCTAAAATGGTTTGAATTGGTGGGAGTATTTTCACAGCAAGATCTGGGTCAGATCCTAAACCCTTAAATCATTAATAAATTGCACATACGGAGTTAAAACCTTCAAGCAAATGTTTCTAGTGACATATTTGTGTGCCTTTTTTGCACTAAAAGCTTGTAGAGAGAAAACAAAGCAAGGAAACTCTACAAGGAGAGTGACTGGGTTTTGAATATTTGATAAGCTGGTGCATCAAGTGTTGCGCTGCTACTCTTTCTGCTTCTCTGACTGTTGAATGGTTTGGGTGTTTTTTTTCTTCTGATTTTTAGGCTACCCTTTCTCTTTCCTTATTGTCCATTTAATTAAGATCCACTTTGGCTTGGCTTAAATCAGTAAACTCCTAATTGATTTGTGCTGCAACCACAATTGATACTACTAGTACCTAGAAAGGTAGGTATGGAATTAGTGATACTGATACAAAGAGGAGGTAATTTGTATAAATTTTTTGTTTTATTCATTTCAGTTACCCTGAATTTTAGAGACTCAGCATTTTGCTTAAAAGCAAGTTAGCTGATTATTTGTCTCAGAAAATCCTGAATCATCTGAAATGG